TTTCTTCTTTATATTTTTCCTTATAGGTTTTACAATCTTCTAAATGAGAGCACTCAGAAATCTTATTTGATACAAGTTGGCATAAATATGATGGGCATAAGCGTGACAGCTGTACAAGTAAATAGATAACATATTATTTTTACTACTTTTTTAAACAGAATTTACACTATTAATCTTGTTCTATATTAATTACGATTCGACAAATGTAATTAAAATAATCAATTTTTACATTTATAACGAAAAAAAATCAATATGCATGAATAAAATATGAAAATAGCAAATATATTATCAACTTTTATTTTTCAGACAGTCGTGAATTTGGATAGACCGGCAGAAGCTCTAAGAGCTGCTGTATTTCATGGAGCTAATCAGTTTCACTTGTTCGTACTCAGTTTACCTGGCCAAGTTCTTCTAGATCATTGTAATGAGTTAGCGAAACAAATGTAAGTGTTAACCATATTCATACAAGTTTAGGCCAAAGAATGATGAGTCTTTTCATCTGATTTTAGGATATATATGTTATTATTGCTCTTTAATTGTTAACTATATATAACATATGCTATTATTGGCCATTTAACTATTAAAAAGAAATTAATATTATTATTAATATTAATCAAGTTAAATTAACATAGTGAAAACCAAAATTTTATGCTATTTACATTTTATATAACGTTCCGTATCTTTTATTAATTTTTGGAAGGTTTAAACTTAAAACCTATTTGTTTCTTCCTTTAGGTTAAAATACTATTATAAATACTGAAAGAAAATTAATGTCTGATTAAATGAATTCTAGTTGGTTGAATCTGAAAATTTCAACGAAATAGATAAAATAGATGATGGAGAAAATTGATGAAGTGTTGAGTTATAATAAATCGAATTCGATTGTACTTCTGTTTAACCACCAGGTGATATAAAAGTTAAAAACTCAATAAGAACAGGCTCATCATATCTTTTTCACATGGTTTTCAAATGCACATGATTTTATTAATCTCGAATATAACGTTTTACTGCGTTCAGACAGATATAGCTCCACATGGTACAATATGCCACTAGAAGTTCAGAAAATGCTTTGCATGATGCAAATAAGGTGTAAAAAACCATGTACGTTAACAGCAGGTGGATTATACGAAATGAATTTGGAAAACTTTGGCATAGTATGTATGTTACGAGCTTATTACAGGGTTATAAATCTATTTATATATTTTCTATTATAATCGGTTAATTCCAATTTTAGACTTTCAAAACCTGCATGTCATACTTCACGATGATAATGTCATTGAAAGAATGAGATTACTGTTGTGTTTTATATTTGAATTAACTAAATATGAAAAATATGAAAATGCACTATACATACAATACATATTAT